ATATATATATATATATATATATATATATATATAATATATATATATATATATGTATATATATATATACATTAATATCAATGCAGGCGTGATCAAATGTAGACATATCTATACATAATCTTTCTCAAAAAATAGTCAAAAAAATTTAACTTGTTATAATATTATGCAATTATACTCAACTCATCAGTTGGGAAATTGAAGCTTCATCTATCAAAAATTCGAAACCGCCTTGATTATACCTCGATAGAAAGCTAGATAAATAAATGAATTAACTTATATGACCAAATTAAGTGAAAATTTACCAAAACAATTAGCTTTCTCTCTCTTGAAAAAACTCACTTCTTTGTAATTGTGAAGTCTACACTTCTGTTCCGCAAGAATATAAACTGTACGTTCGTGAACGAAACTATCAATGCCATTATCAAAAAATATCTGCAATAAATAATAAAGTGGGAAAATAGCTAGAAAATGTAAAGAAAAAATCAGTTTTTATGCAATTGTTAAATTGTCCTAACAATTAGCATTCATTTTTTTTTAGCATTGCTAATTAGCATTAGCATTTGCATTTTCGAATTAGCATTAGCATTTCCTTATATAAACATTACCAGCATTTCATTTCGCGAGAATCCATGTGGTCCTACACCTACTATTCCTGAATAAAATGCTTTCCGATACCGACCAAACTGAAGTCTGAAAAATGAGAATACTTCAAGAAATACAATTTTAATTCGAAATGATTGTGTAAATTAGTTTTGAATTTCAAAAAAAATTAAAGATTACTTTGGTTCATATAAAGCACATACGCGTACACCTTCCCACATATGCAAATGACCCTCTATTTTACGAGCTATACGCGATATATCAATTATTTCCTCATAACCATCACCAAACAGTACGTTGTATTCACGCGGAGATACCTGAAATGATTATTACTTGTATTCGAATTCCTAAACGTTGAAATTCAAACAATAAAAACTGGAATCATAGTAAAGAAAAAAGCAGTATTCAGTTGCAATCTATTAATAGCTGAAATGACTGTTATCGCTGTAACTCACTCAGTTTTAACAAAAATTGATAGTAGCCATTATTTATCCGATTAAAAAATAATTAAACTGATTAAGTTTACCAGACATTCAATTAATTATGCAATAAAAATTTCCTCTTCCTATAGTACTGTAATGCAAAGTTTTACCTTCTCAACAATCTGGCAACGAACGAAATTATATGCTTTCTGTTGACGAGCTAAACAGAAGGATCCATTCGGAATATCACTAATATTGACGGGATCACTGATAATGACGTAATTCCTTTCTATATGTTCATTGTGAGTCACATTGACAACACTCACTTCTTCACTAGTTATAGCCTATAACCGGCTCTAGAATTTTTTATATAACAAAATTTATTCTGTCACATAAAAACTTGATTACAATCAGAAATTAATATCGCTAGTGATTTCCGATTTTGATTAAGTTTTTAACTGATTGTAATTAAAAAATGATTGTCATTAATTTTGATTGTAATCGGTGAAGATAATTTTGACTAATCTTTTTTTTCGAGTTCTGGTTGTAATACTAACTTTCTGTTCGATATAATATTCGTCATGGTGAATATGAGAGACAGAGAAAAAAAGAACTTTCCTGCATTCTTTATTAAACGACATCTACAGTTCACATAAAGATAGCAACTCCACGACTTAACGAGTAAACGATTTTTTATAAAAATCAGAAGCAAAACCTATCGAATTAAATTAAAATTTATGGAACAGATTAAAAAATATCGAGGAAAAAATAGAATTAAATCGAACTCACTGAAAATTTTTGATCATTCTTCTGCGAATCAATCACCGATTTCTCCGTCATATTTGCACAATGCTCATTTACCAATATCTCTGCTTGATTTATCCGGTCTTGAGTTAAAATATTCCCTTGCGATATACTTTCATTCGGTGAGGACAAATTTCGCTGCAAAACTTTTATTTATTCCTAAAAACTAAAACAAATCCATGTGAAAAATTGAAATTTGTTTTTCGTACACACGGAATTAAAAACATTTATATAACAGTTCCTGCAGCTGAAATAATTTTTAAATAAATGAGCCTGAATTTTAACACTATTGTCACCAATATCATTCTTTTTTTTTGTTACCAAACTAAAATAAAGTGTACGAGTGTGATCATGCTTCCATTCTTCATACAATCGTTTAATCAATTCATCAATTTTTCGAGTGTTAACACTAACCGCTGTTATCCCTAATAAATAAGTTATGATAAATAAAAAGAATGCACGGATTAACTTATTCATTTCGCTTCACATGTTCACTTAAGTATTGTAATCGCAAAAGTAAAACGTTTACTCTTACTATAAGCTTGTTGTCATGATTATTATCTTTATTATTATTATTAAAAATTTCAAAGAAAGAGACTACTGTACCAGTTCATTGAGAAGATTACTAGCATATTTTGTCAGTTCGCTTGATATCATCACTAAATCATTGATACAATCATCATTTATGTGTCGGCTAAAATTGTTTCAAAATATTACGAAAATATTTTAAAAAATATGGAAATATCAAGAAATTCTTTATTTTTATTTTTGATGAGAATCAAATCTACGGGAAATCAACAAGCATCTGTTTTCTGACTACCAACAGTTCAATAGGAGTGGTCCAGTAATGGAAAAATGCAGGATCTCTTTTAAATCTTCACTTTTATGAATGTCATGTTCAATGATCAACAAGTTCCAAAAGTTCATTTGGGATGAAAGAATGACAAGAAAGATAAAATTTATCCAACCAAAGAGGAGATGACTGATCATTTTTGAAATCTTCCAATACTTCGCGCGCAATGGCTACAAAATCATCCATAGATTGCATAGCTTCTTCATCGGATGCTATAGAAGATGTCTCAATCTAAAACGAAATTTTGTGACAAGCAAGAGAAAAAATTTGGATTTGGATTTGTGTGTTAACTGAAATTCTGCATCTTTGAAACTATTTTTCACTTAAGAGCATATCATGCATACTACTGATATTACAGAACGACATTCACAAAAGCTATTGAACATAGCTCTCCAGCATTGCTGATTCTTACCCTCTCATTTCACTTCAAATAGATCGCGCTTGAACCTATCACTTTGGTAATTATACCAAGATTCGAAAAACATGATGACACCAAGTTAGATCTCGTAAATTACTTCCAGCTGCAATAGAAAACTAACACTTTTCCATTTCATATTGAAATCCTCAGCAACAGGCCAACCATACATTTGCGCCAGTAACATTGTCAACATCACAATTAACTCAATCGGCTCAGAAAGAGTCTTCTGAAAGCTATGAAGTTTTTGACAATAAAGGATAATTCTTCAGTATATAGTGATAAATAAAGCAAATGCTATAAATAATCGATAATAGAAAAGTGTAAATAATAGAAAGGAAAACAAAAGCGAAATATATAATAAGATATTACTGAAACATATCAATTCAGCATTATTTACTGAAACTTACAACAGCTATTTCTGAGGGAGCTAAGGCGATGTCATTGTTTATCAAATTGCCAAGAATAAGCATATGAGCACGATCCACGCCAAGGTAGCCAGCAATCCGAGATATACTGTAATTTTCGACTGTTTTGTCACGTTCTGCAATGAACTTCCTTTAAAGTTATACACAATATGCAACTAAAAAATGACTGGAATACGAGTCTGTGATGACTGGAAAGTGAGAGCTGTGTTTTTGGAAGTCATTACTGAAACTGGATAACATGTAAAAAAAAAATGATTAGTAGAATCGATTATGCATATAAAGCACTTAGGTTTTTCTTTTTAAATCTAGTATACAATAGCATATCAGATGCCACGAAAAATTTACGCAAGTAGTATCACCAGCAACAACTAAATGATTTTAATGATTTTTTAGGAACGATGAAAAAATCTTTCACCTTTCCAAATATAATCCATTAAAAGGACAATAAAATCGAATACTGATACCGCCATTTTAGCCGCGCCATCTTTTATTCCCATTTTATTAACATGAAATACAATGACAGCTTCGGCAATCTTTTCCTCATTGAAATCAACAGTGATCTAGAAATAAACAAAAGATTTCAATTCGTTTATGATATCAAAGATCGAACGTTGAAGTTATCGACAAATTGAAAAAAGCCTTATAAAAATATCTTAAATGAATAAGAATATACGCTAACTGCTGTTTCTTTTTTTTAGTCTCGAAAACTAACCGTCTCTTGGATATGGTCAAAGAAATCAGTGTCTAGTGTTAAAAACCCGTAAATATTCCTCCGTGTTTTATATTCCGATCCATTGTAGCGGAGCGTTTTATACAAATTACGCATCCTCTCCTCACATCTGGCAATGTAATAAAACAATTAATTAAGTAATCATGTCGTTAGTTCCTTAATCTTAACGCAAACGAATTTTGAATTTTTTGGATTTTGAATTGCATGATATGAGTACAAGTGAACTCAGATTTCCTTAAATTCTACGTATTGCAGTACTAATACAAATTGGATATAATTTTGATCTAAGATACGATTTCGAAGCATGTAATCCACATACTGTTAGTGCCTGTCAAATTCTTCTAAAAATTACACTTTTGTACTAAATTTAAACCTCCGTATTTCTAAAAAAGTAGTAAAAAGTATAACTCCTTTAGCTTGAAAATGCAACAGTAAAACACCTTGGATACGTGTAGCAAAAAAAAAGAAAAAAAGAAAAAAACCTACAACGTTTTTCTTTCATCACTCAAAAGGCTTAGATCTCGACTATCAAACACAGCAATTTCATCTGAATCATCCGATGATGTTTCATCCACCAAAAAAGCATTTACATCAATATCCACATCAACATTCCTTCCCTAAAACACTATAATTTTACAAAAATCAATAACTTTACAAAAACATAAAAAATTTCCTACTTAAATGGATTAACGATGCATCCTAGTCAAAATCAATCAATCATTCATCATAACATATTATCTATCACATTTTTTTTTGAAATAATGAAATTCTGGCAACCATATTCAAGAAAGTAAAAACGTTTATATGACATGCCAAATGTCACGTAAATATTTACCATCATTATGAAATTAATATTCAATATGACAGTTAATAACAAACTGAACGATTCGAAGGTTCAGAGATACAATCAAGTCCCTCATCTATTTCCATTTTAATTCATTAAAGAATGCCCTGAAAATAACAGTGAGCAAAAGTCAATAATAGGCTTTCACGGTATCTTCAGAACAAAATCCAATCTGAAACTAAAACGTAAATGTATTCTAGCGACAAAACTAATCTAAAACCCAAAGTAATACAAGCTCCAGAATTCATTCTCGAGAAATTGGGAAAAAACTAGGCTGATTTCACTTATATCCCCACAAACACTTCCACTCCGTAAATAACTCAATTTCAATTTTCACCCTCTCTCTTCGTTCCGAATGACCTTCTTCCATTTGGTCTAATTCGAAATACGATCTAACGAAATAACTGTTTTCTTTTTTTGTTCGATACCCAAATATCACAAAGTGAAAAAGCTAAATTTTATTTTCATGTAATAAATATCCACATTCATCTTTTGTATTGGATAGACTGCAGCAAAAAAAGCACGATTACTTCTGAAATAAAAAAACCTATCAATTCATTTTTCGATAAATAGCAACTGAAAAAAAAAAAGAAAACTCCAAGTAATTTGATTTCAGTTACTAGTTATCGAAAAATAACTGTAATGAATTTTGCAAATCTGCTAAACATAAACATGGCACATTTACAAAATTTTAAAAAGCAGTACATGAGATATAAAAAGAGGTAAATTTACATGGAAAGTGGAACAAAATGCACTTATCGCAAAAAAGAAAATATTACAGAAACAACAACAACCATATACTCTCCATTCTGCAACAAAAAAATTACCCAGTACCCGTAATAATATATTACTATTCACTGATACTGATAATAATGTATTGCTACTAACTGATACCGGATATGATCTGAGAGAGATAAAGAAATACGAAATTTAAGGCAGTAATAGATACATTTCACCTTCAGGGACCTAAGTAGAATGCAAAATAAAATTATGACAATCTCAAATTTTTTTTTGCGTGTATTATCACTGATACTTTTTTTTCGAATTTTTAACATGAGAGCCCTGAAGAAACCGCGATTCCCGGTACTTTCTTCGACAGCTTCAAACGGTACAACGCCATCCCGGAATTTCTCCAAACTTGGCTTTTTTTTATCCTGAAAAAAGGTTTACTGCTGACTTCATAATACATATGATAGTTCGAAGTCTGGAAATAAAAATTACATGTTCCAAACGACAAGCTACGGGCGTTCCAAACGAAGTTTTACCACCGCTGCTACCAACTGATGGCGATCCAAATTCCACATAAGATGTCGAAGTCTCATGATCAGCAATCGATGTATTATGTTCCTGCAAATTAAATTCATACCGATTAAATTCATACCGATTATTGTAATTTCTCTACTTCACTATAAATTTTAAAGTTAGCAAACAAAATTTAAAAAAACAATAGGGATATTATCCATAGATAATAATGTTTGAATCTCTGGATAAAATTCTGAAAATAAAAAATTTACCATATTTTGTTCTAACACAGTCTCCTCTAATGATCGCGTAGACATTTCCACACTTTCGTCTAGTTCATCACTAAGCAAAACAACGCTATCATCCGAGTCTTAAAAATTCAGATAATTTTTTGAGAACGAAAATAAATCCAAATATTTGTGGAAGTCACAATTAAACAGAAAGAAATAATTGAAAGTCATACCATTTCTTGATCGTTTACGATCATTTTTGTGCTCATTCTTATAATGTCCTCGTTTCCTATTTCTTTCATAGCTATCGTCAAGCAATTGCTGCTGCAACAAAATTAATTTAAAGTTAAAACCAAAACATTTCAATCCACAAGATATAAATAAGTTTGAAAGTTCCATTTCTGCCTGAAAAAATCAAGCAAGGCAAAATATTTACCGCATGTCTTTCCTTGGCATATTCTTGAAGATACCGGACGTATTCATCAAATCTAGGTACTCGAAAACGTTCGCGCTATAAAAAAAGAAAATAACTTATTTTCAACAGGTTGGTCATTATAATTAATAAATTCAGTTAACGAGTACTCCCGCCTAGTCTGGAATATCCATAAAAATAAAAAGACACTTCAAGAAGCAATATAACATGAAAAATGAATCTCCACTGAAGTAAAGTAAAACAATCAAATCGTACATCTCTAAGACATCGTTTATAGTAGTTAAAACCGGGATAGGCAATCACTTTATCGGCAGAAACCGTAAGTCGTTTCCGTTTCTTATCTTTTTCTGAAACACAAATGAAAAAAAAAAAACTATGAATTAACTAAGATCAGAGTGCTTGGAAATTCATGTATTTTTTCATTTGCAAATCCAAAGAAAATAAGCACCTCGCATAATAACTGGAGTTCCCAATGTCTTATCATCGGTGTGAAATTCCAACAATGAGTCCTCACCAGAACTTTGATCAAGGGCCTAAAAATATACAGCTCTGTCTTTAAGGATAAAATAAACTACAAACCTTATCTACATAGTTCAGTAATGTATAACATAACTACACACATGTTAAATGTTCTCGAACTTCTCAATGGCCTAGGAACACACTAACTTTATCCCCTTATGGAAACATGAAAGCTACTAAAAAAATGAAAAATATGCAAAACTAATCACCTCCGCCAAATATCCTGGTGGATAGCCATCAATGAAGCCTCTTCGACGCATTCGATAAATCCATTCTGGAATGTCATTCGGACCTATACCCAAAGCTTCACGCAGTGTATCACTGATTTCCCCAGGCCTAAACATCGTCACTTTTTAAGTGGGGTGAAAAACGTCAACAGAAAACACTATATGTAGGGAAAAATTTTTCAAATTTACCTCATATTAGACGTGCCTGGTGATTCAGTATCACCTGCTGTAGTATAACGTTCCTGTATTGAACGTTTATTACTATAATGAGCAGCACGATTGGCAGAGATCCTCCGCTGATTTAAAGGAATATCACATTGTTGCAGGGTATGCTCACCACCACAGTTGAAGCAACTTATTTTGAACGTGCTGAAGTTCCGAAAAACAATTTCCATATCATAAAATTACAAAAGCGATCAATATTGACAGGCAAATATAAAATGAATGAAAGAGAACAGTGAGTGAATCTTTTATGAACCTGATAATCTAGTTATAGCAAAAGCTATGCAATCTTTATAAACAAATAGGTTTGAATTATTCATTTTTTTAGCGTAAAGACTAATGATGAGAAAATGCATATTTTATGAAATAACCTTTCTTTTTTCTCTTCTGATGGCGATGGAAGTATGGCATCATTCGTTAAAATTTTGGTCACATCGAAAACGTCGTCCTTTCCTTTTGTCCTCGAAGTTTTTTGTGTAACGTAACGCTCCTCCTTTTTCAAACCATGTTCTGATGTTGGGGACACAACAAGGTTTTTTTTCACTTCTTCCACCTCAATAATTTCCGCCCCTTCAGTATCCAGAACGAATAATTCACCAACGTCGCTATCTTCGCCCTCATCAGACACCTGCAGCTGCAGATTCCAACAAATTGAAGATACTAAATATAAAATGCAGGTTTGTCGCGCAAATTGATAGACTTAGACATGTTAAACTCAAAGAAGTGATGCTAATGAAATTAAGATCTAACATTATGATGAAATACTTACTACTTCGATATCTTCATCATGGTCCACTTCCACCAAATCCACTAGCTCAATCACGGATTCATCCTTTCGAAATTTTGCATTTTCATACCTGAAATATAGCTGCTTTTCATTGAACAAGTCCATATAACGACTTCAATTCGAACATATTTAAACGGCGACTTTTTATCGCAAAATACGATACTAGACATGCATGGATCGAAGCAACTACTATGACTTGAATGCCACGTGACTTTCCAGATTTCAATGAATACTTGAAAGGATTTAATTAATGAGTTTGACGAGTTATAAAGACAGTTTTTTCGAATTGTGTTCACTGTTATGAAATATAGCTTCTCTGGTCAATCAATAACACAGCGTAATAAATCGCAATATAGTAATTAAGTTCAATGTTATTTAGCTCCAACGTAAGTTCTAGACACCAAGTTCATAATATGACATCAGTAAAAGTATGGGAAAAAAGGAATGAAGTAATGAAAAGCTGAAAATCATGAAATAATTGAATACATCAGTCTACACAAGATGAACAGAGGAATAGAAATTTTGCACAAATTACCTATGCGTCTTCCTTTTGGGCGTTCTTTTGATGCCTACACGGGTAACCTCTGATCTCGGTGATGGCGTACGTGAACATTCACCTGGTTCACGTTCGTCACGAACATCCATTTTTTAAAATTGCTAAAAATAAACAACAATATTTGAAAATAAGTTCTCGAAATTAATTTCCCGAACGAATCTAAACGAATAACATTATGGTAAGAAATATTTAGATAATAACCCATTCAAACAACCCAAAAAAAATCACCACTACAGTCAAAACTACCGTCCCTGAACATTCTGCTCAAGACCAACAACAGAATTCGTTAGCGACTTGTTTTTTAGAAGTTTAATTTTTCGGTTTTTCAAGCTCAAACATTTGCAGTTATATCTGTATTTCTTTGTTATTTTTATGCTCATCGTAACCTTTGAACTCTTCTATCTTGTTCTGTAAATAACTCTAAAAATTTATATTGTATTAACAACCAACAATCCATGTGATTTATGGTATAAATGATCAGTGGTTCTTTACCATAGTGTGATTTAACTTGTAAAATCAAGCTAGATTACTCAAGATTTTGGAATCCTATCTCATATATGCAAACAGGTTTCGATTTATCAAAAGGTATGCTTACCTTTACAGGCTGGTTTAGTAGTCGTAATATTATTCTGAAACAATGTTGCGTTTTATTTCTTTCTGAATAAAAGGGAACAAATAAATAAAATTCAATAAATAATTGAAATATTTGACAATTGCTATGTTCCACTCTTCATGTATTGCAATGAGAAGTGTTCTTTTTTAGATTGTCACTCATTTTAATCTACTCATCGTTGACATTTCCAGTTCCTAACAGTTCCAGTAATTTATATACTTGTCACTTGATGACAGCTTTATGATAAAACATTGGATATCGATCCTCTGATCGATCACATGAGTAACATGCTTTTCGTTTAATAGGACATTAAAGGTATGATGAAGTAAAGATGTGAGAAAGAAAATCAAATAGCAGATATCATTTAGCTGCGCAAGTTTTATAAAACTCTGAAGATGCTAATGACGCATTTCCCGCAGAAATGATTTATTAGTTGGCATTAAAGATGAGAGAAAGAAAGAGGAAATTTCGCTTTTCGTTTGTAAATGATTCAATATTTTAATGGTTTATCAGAATAGAAAGATGTAAATGTGAGATAGAAAGAAGGAGAAAATCAATTAATAACTAAG